ACACGTGCAAATCTTATATATATATATATATATATATATATATATATATATATATATATATATATATATATATATATATATATATATATATATATATATATATATATGTGTGTGTGTGTGTGTGTGTGTGTGTGTGTGTGTGTGTGTGTGTGTGTGTAATTTGATTATTTGTTTCTTAGTTTTACATTTTTCAAATTTTGTTTGATTCCATTACATGTTATAGTAATGATAATTTTGTATTACTGGATTTTATATTTAAAAAAAATTAGAAATTCAGTTCCGTTCTGTTTGACCTTAAAAACAACCAGTAGTAGAAACAATGTATCTATTTGCTGACCTTAATTCAAAGATCAGATGAGTTCTGGTAAACATTTTTTTTAGAAATCAAATTAATTTTGTCCCCAGAGTAAGAACAATTGCTTTTAAATAAGGCCATACTAGAATATATGATGTTAGACATGCAAATGGTTTGACGTTGCTCTAGAAAGATGATCACGTGACTCTCATACGGGAATCTGTTTTGCGTTTTAGATAGTCTTATAACTATCTGTTTGAAGAAGAAAGAGCCAGTTGGTTTTTAATCTCTTGATGCTCAAAGCTGTTTTGTTGTGACCAGTTTGAGCTGAATTGCTATTGTTGGAATCAGCAATTAATTTCCCTGGAATTATATATAAGTGGTCCTGAGGAAATTATTGGACAAAGAAAATAATTGAAAATTATTCGGAATTTCAAACTAGAATATTATTATCTGTGATTCAATAACGAACTGTTAACCCATCAGTACAAAGCTGACTATCGAAGACGTCAACGCCTACCATCTTGAATTTCATCGGTATTCGAACATTTATAACTGTTGATTGATCTGACTTATATTTTTAATTCTTGGATTAATTTTGGATTTGTCAACAGTAAATCATTTTTCTCAATTACTACCTTGTTTTGTAGGGAAATAAATTATTTTGTTAAATTTTACAACGCTTGATGTCTTCACTTTTTTCTTGTCCCATTTTAAGAGGCCAGACACGTATATATATATATATATATATATATATATATATATATATATATATATATATATATATATATATATATATATATATATATATATATATATATATATATATATATATATATATATATATATATATATATATATATATATATATATATAAACACGGATCACTGTCATCTCACCTCTGTCTGCGTGAGTTCGAGTCTAGGATTCGGCGAATGTGGATATAGGAGAAAGCTTTGCCAGTAGCTTCTCGTGGGTCGGTGGTTCTTTCCGGTGATTTTCCGGTTTCTTCCTCCACCATTAATGCTGGCCGCCATGAATAGCCTATCGTGTGCTGAAAAATGGCGTCCAGACCAACAACAACAACAACAACATATATATATATATATATATATATATATATATATATATATATATATATATATATATATATATCTATATATATATATATATATATATATATATATATATATATATATATATATGCTAATTTTTGTGATACATGCTGCTGCGGCTTGAATTACAGGATATAAACACAGACGGGTATTTATAAATATATGTATTAGATTTTATATAATATAAGCATATCGGAAAACAATTGTTTTTCAAGATTTTATCAAGAATACTTAACATAGAAACTGCTGAATTATTTGACTGAACGGATTCATCGCTTTCTAGATAGGTGTAGCAATGGTCATTCTCCACAAAGATGGGACACGTCCAAAAAAGAGACTGCTGTATTTTGCGTACAAGTGGCTTGAAATCTCGTTGGAAATATATTTAGTTAATTAATTGAATATTTGATCAGAAGATTTTGCATCAATACGTTTTCTGACGTATAATAGAAACATTTTCTGAGACAATCTTTTTTCTCTTCGGACAAAAGAAAGTTGAATATTAATGTTATCTTTTGATGGTATAGATGTGAAGAAAAAAATCGTTCATAACCGTATTTTTCTCAAACTTTAAAGAAAAAGGCTTTTACGTGTGTAATGTTGAGGGAATGGTTTCAACATTATCAGATTTGTTAACCGGTGCATTCGTGGCTACTTGGGAGATTTAAAATCAGTTCCCTACGCAAAATATAAACTTAATTAAGATGTGAGTAATTGGTTTCACCACTGGGCTTCTTCATATTATTAGCTTTGTTTGTTTGATTTATATATTTCCATCGGTTATTTTCAGTTTTATTTGCGAAAATATATTTCGTAAGAGCTTTATTTGTTTGATTTATATATTTCCTTCGGTTATTTTAGGTGTTATTTGCTAAAATATATTTCGTAAACGCTCCATATATCTGATGTCCAAAAAGGTTTTCAGAATTAAATCAAATGTATATATCTGTCTTGCATGCAATTTCTGCAAAAATGGAAACAGCTTCCAGAAGAGGTTTATCCTCTTACGCTTGATCCATTGGTTCATTTTAATTGAATGTTAAACTTCTTCATACATGTTTGATATATAATCAAATGTGTTTGCTTTTAGCTGATTTCAAGTCTATATTTAATTTGATCGTTATAATTATTATTTTCTCAAGGCCACAATCATGCAAGAATCATTAAAGATCAAGGTCAACCTATAAGAGATGAGCGCCTTGGCTATAAATATGTTTTGTTTCATGACATGGTGACATTCATCAAACTACAGAGTCGATAAAACATATTCTTTACACGCTACAGCTGAATCGATTCGGGATTATACATTTAATTCCGCCACATCGAATATATATATATATATATATATATATATATATATATATATATATATATATATATATATATATATATATATATATATATATATATATATATTATAAATATATATATGATCCAATATTAGCCTACCCTCAAAAAGAATCTTTTACTGCGATCTGTTATCGCTCTAACGGGAGTCAGCACCTTCCTGTCTGTAACACTGAACTGTTCCAATTGACGTATGAGAGAGACAGCCACAAATGTTTGTTTGACCTAAAACTTTGTGATCAAATGGATTGTGGAAAAACTTTTAAAACAGAACATGATATGCCTTCACTTACATTGTTTCAGTAACCGGATATAAGTGTAATTTTAATAAGGTGAATGTAATATGTATCAAAATATCAATCTTATCGAAGAAAGTTCAAATATATTCTGAGTCAATTTAAGAAATGAATGACTATGTCATGGCGCAGTGCGATCTTTCATACGTCCATGACTACCCTTACTCAAATGTATAACTCTTTCCTAGGCATATTTTTTTTTTAGTGAAACACTTTTTCTGAGAAAGAGAAAAGAATGAGACACTTATTTTTTTTACTTCAGTGGCAAATAAGACATTGGGTTTGGCTTATTTGAGAGAGAGAGAGAGAGAGAGAGAGAGAGAGAGAGAGAGAGAGAGAGAGAGAGAGAGAGAGAGAGAGAGAGAGAGAGAGAGAGAGAGAGAGAGAGAGAGAGAGAGAGAATTATTCAATGCGTTGAGGTTGGACTGAAAATTCGTTTTCTTAATTAACGAGCTGATTAATTATGTATGAGGTTTCAGCACTCATCCTTTAACGTAATCTGAATTTTTGAAAAAGAATATAGAAACAACTGAATACATTGGAGAGAGTGAATATTAAAATTAGAAATGAACAAATGTTCAAGAAAAGTGAAAAATAATACAATTACTAAAGATATGAATACACAAACAAATAAGAATAAACCATAGGAACGAAAACACAAATGCTGAAAGTTAATTCCAGGAATGGCGCATGTCACTCTTCTTTACGATTGGATGCACACAATAAACTTTGATCGTCGCTGATAAACCATTGAATAACCCTAATTAGGCGATTTCCCATAAAATTGCATGGAGCCACCATCATCGGCTTGTTGCATTGACGTTGTTTCGTGAAAATTTAATAAATTTAATGAAAAAGTTATAGATAGGTTTTCTGGAAGCTGCGCTTAGAAAAGCGAAAAAAATATTGGAGTGAAAGGTGATAGTGTCTAGACTGACAGTTCATGAAACAGTTGGCATCATAATTACAACTAATATCCTTAAAGTAAGTTGAGATTTGGGAGTCCTCTGACTTTAAGATCTTAAACTATATTGAAATTTAGAAGTCCTCTGACTTTATGATCTTTAATTAATTAAGAAATAGAAGCAAAATCTAAGTTTTCTAAAATCTACAATCAAGTGAATTCTCTAAGTCACAAGGTGAAAATTTAGAAGGAAATTACAGTATTGGCTATTAAGTCCCAAATCAGCCTAAATGTTCCATCACAATAAAATTGTACAAGATGTTTAGAATGAATTCCAATAATGTTTAATGTCCTGATGGACCAATATTCTTGATTTATCACAATGATATTATCTAAAATGTATTTGAATGAGGTCTCAATAACCCAAAAGTAATGTTTTAGTCCAAAAAGTCATTGAGCCCATCATAATTCCAATTAATGATTTAAATAAATAATTAATGCGAAATTATTTCTGAACACAACAAGAAATTATTCCAGACTGATATTAAAATAAGAACGAAAACTTTAATGATAAAACCCTTTTCATATATATCCACACTTGACCTATGCTGCTACTGCATTTCCTGAACAAGTTCGATCATTTTAATTTGAAAATTACTGCTAACTGTAAATAAGTTCGTTTCCAGAACCTTTAAAGGTCATAATCATGGTAGGTCTTGAACTCAATTTCAACTAAACATCTTTAAAAATGACCATGGTCAGGTAAGCCAAAACTGATACCATCACTTACGGACAAAGGTCACGCGCACAATAAAAATTAAATATACAATAACGGTAAAGATAAGAGTACAATGAAGAGCAACACCAATTACATCACGCTAAGAAAGGTATTTTTACTAGTATTTTTTAAACGTTTCTCACGGAGGTAGGCTGTCAATATTTCAGATAATAATTAAACTTTTGCTTTACGTGCATTAAACAAAATACCGAATTAGCTGTGTTTGAAAAAGATACTAATAATGGTATTTTATTTACTAAATTTAGCTCCAGTGGTTTAGTGGTTAGACCGTCCGCCTCGGATAAGGGAGCTCTCGGGTTCGAACCCCTGCTGAATCATACCAAAGACTTTTAAAAATGTTCTAACAGCTACCTTGCTTGACGCTCGATGCTCTGCATTAGGAGGTTAGTGTTAGGACTGGTCGGCCTGGTGTTCGGATAATATGACTGGGTGGGACATCATGCCACATGTCTGTGGCATGATGCCCCAGTGCTAGACATCACTATAAACTGTCCACGCTGCAGACATCGTAGCGATATAACTGAAAAATTGTTTAAGCTATGTTAAAAATCTAAATCACACACACACACACACATACACACAAAAATTAAGACAAACTTTGTCTTAAATGACTCGGTAGTTAGAATTATTCTTGTAGACTAAAAATTCTTGTCAGACAAAATGTTTATTTCACTCAAATCACGTAATTATGACCTTGATGCAGTTGAAAGCAAATTCATTTAAAAACCTCTCACATGTGATCACCGGATAATCTAAGAGTAATTTCAATATCATGTTGAACTGGTTGCCAATTATCATTATTATTTGAAGACGATCTGTAGATAACACCAAGAAATGTATTAGAACTCTTGTGCCTTATTTCAAGTCAAACATTTTTTGACTAAATGATTCTAAAATAGAATATCCTTTCACTTTTAATTAAGTACTCTGAAACGATTTTATACTACCATCATGACTTCCTCAATGGACTCTTGAAGGATTATGAAACACATTATTGACGAAATCAGAGTCGAAGAATGAATCATCTAAGTGCGTTTCAGAAAGAAAAAAAAACAACATCGAATGTAATTAATCTCTTATATCATAAATAAACGGAATTTTTCATCATCGGCATAGGAAGACTAGGGTGAAAGTGAGTTCCAAAAATTATTTACGTAAGTTGTATAATAAGACAAGAATGTTTATTATAAATAGTGGGCATGTGAGAAGACCATTGTTAATAACAAAACGTATCAGGCTTGAGTTGCATAAAGTTGATAAAGTCATAATTTAAAAAACCAAGTGAATATTTGGAATATTTTAGCGGAATTTATTCTTTGAAATTAGTCCTGAATGAAAACTCCCCACAGCGATTAGGCGTCATAATCTTGATCGAGTTTTCTATATTACCATCGTAGGAGGTAATGCCATTGACAATAGTGGAATGGCTCCGACAATTTATCATTCAGATATTATAGTAATGTCCCTGGTAATTCACACAGTTTAATGAATTTAATACGCCTTCTCTAGATAGTATTATTTTCAGCAACCGCCGTTGGCATTTGAACGTTTCGGCTAATTCTTGCATTAAGGAATTGCCAAGTTATAATTATCCGACACCGAATTAGACATTAATTCCATTTTCAGAATAATTTAATACCTTCCAACATAGATGTGTGTTTACTTTCCAATTACATAAATATTATGGAAATACCACTATACTTCTATAACAGGAGCGTCACCTGTCAATTTCCCATTGTTTCTTACATCTTTCAAACGAGTTAAGACATCGCATAGTCTCTGTTTTCAATGTTAATATCACCTACCTTTTAATTGCATGATTAAAGGGATTCTCTCCTTCAAATTAGTATAATTGGTATTTATGTTCCTAATTATAGTTCTAGATCTCTATCTTTCAAGTTTTATCTCTTAGATCTAAAGGCGACAAATACCGTGACCACAAGTTTCATTGACACACGTTGATATAGGCTTATAACTTTAAGTATGTCCTGTGTCTTTTATTTCAATGCATACTCAATGTTGGGTCCTTCCTTCACAGCCGTGGGCAATTATCTACATTATCAGCGCCATCTGAAAGTTGAGAACATAATTTCAACGTTGTGATCCTTAAAAGCATTTAGGCTAAAATTAAAACCATGCTGAAAAAATGTCGCTTCCTTTTTGTCACCCCGATACAATAGATGTAGTGTAAATGTTGTATAGTTTAAAGAAGAGATTTCAGCGTTTAAATACATTTTATAAGTGATGTATGCATTGCAATTTGCTGTTGAACACTTTCATTCAGAAAAGACCTATACTTTCTCATTTCCACGAGGTTCTCATAAAAGCCTCTTCGAAATATCATCACATATAATGACTAATACTGAATCTCAGGTAGGTAAAGGGCCAAAGCAGGATCTATTATAGTTGTATGTCAAAGTACCACACACTTGTACCATCACAAAGGTAATGGATCAAATATCTACTGACTTTATGTACATCTATTGGAATTACGATACTAATTCAGCAAACCTATGCAGACACCATGATATTAAAAATTGAATAACTTAAAATTTTGAAGTGCTCATGATCAAACTTATATTTATCAGTATAGATGAAACCTGGAAGTCAGCTTCTGTGCAGAGGAAAGTATATGAGCCACGGCAGTTTCTGGAGATGCATCTGTTTGAAACATGTGCATTCAATTCCACACCAAAGAGTTAGGTGCTAATTTTAGTAATGAGTGTTCCAAACTGAAGACTATTAAAGAACTAAATTTCCATCAATAAAACAATATCTCTATTTTTATTCACTTTCAACTAGGATAAGGTCTCAAAAGATTATTTTTCATAAAAATATATCTTACATTATTAACCAATCCTGGTCAGCCAAACCCGTATATACTCTATTTAATGTTCATCCATTTCTAGGCTTGTTCCAATTTTTCAATACAATTAGTACCGTGTGTCCCACAGATCACGCCATTCATAACACAACGTTTGAAATCTACATATTGAGACCTTAAGCATGTATCAATGGACGAAAGATGAGGAACAAAATATCTCCTTTTAGAATTGGAAAAGCACAGGAATAAAACAAGTATAAAATCAATTATAAAATAATACTCATCCGAATTATTACTTGTGCAATTTGATTTTTGTAAAAGGTAGAATACCGTAGTTATATAAATAAACTGCATGATTCTCTTGTAGGAACATCAACATACTCAACTAAAAGTCACGTCCAATAGAAACAACAAAAACTCTCTCTGATCTGCAGTCGCATAATGCGCAACGAGATCTGAGTCTGTGTTATTTATTCTATCAATTACTCTTAACAAACTGCTCATGATATTTTATGTAATCTTACATTTAATGTTTCTTATTGCAGTGGGATTTCTTAAGAGTTAGAGATGGTGGGAACTATGAAATTTATCTCATTAGGTTTCAAAAGTGGACAATGAAACTTTATTATTGTTTCCTCAAGGTTGAAGAATTTATAACATTTCCTTCAGAAATAAAGCAAAACTATTTTCAAATAATCCGAAGATTCCAGCTAAATGTTTTGCCTAAATAAAATAATTCTTGTCGAATGGTACATATCTTGAAAAACAACAGTTATTTCCGGAAGAAAGTTTGAGAGGCTGAGTGAAATTTAGACCTGGAGTAAGCTTAGATGTTGAAAGTGGCAGTAAGTTACGGCATTTTTTCTCCATTTAAAACCGTCGCTCTCTCTCTCTCTCTCTCTCTCTCTCTCTCTCTCTCTCTCTCTCTCTCTCTCTCTCTCTCTCTCTCTCTCTCTCTCTCTCTCTCTATTTGCTTCACTGTTTTGTTTTGCACGTTATCCTCTTTTTTTTTCTTAAAATAAAATAAAATAACCCGTTCGTTTATAAATGATTTTTTTAATTTAGTGATCGGATGCGACTGTAATCTATTCGCTTGTGCTTACTTTGAATCTTTAATGGTGTGGCCGATATCCATCAACTTCTTTAGTTTCCGTGTTTTTTAGACAGAGCATTTGAAGTTATCTTATATTAAGACACTGCATAACAATTCGGTCCATGTCAACGTGTAAGACGATGAACACATGACAATTTGAAATTAGGTCACACTGGATAGGTTCGTATTTTGACACCACCCTAACTTTTAAGGTAGAAGGCATGAGCCTAATTATGACAACCCTAGCATTTATAAATTCACACATAAGCTAACTATGTAATGTGGTTTACATTTACATTGAGTTAGGCTTGAAAATGGGTTGGCTTCTTGGTGTCTACCTGTCACAGATTATCACTGGAGATCAAATGCGTAACTTGGGCTGCTAATGAGCAGCCGACTTTGCTTACGTATTTACATGTGTCTGCTACAAATATCTAAAAATCTACATGGTTGAGGTGTGATGAAATGTATGCTAATTTGTAATAGTACTAGTGTACTTTAAAAATTATTAATGTATATACTGATTCTTTTAGTCGCCTTGTCGTAAGAAAATGTTAAAAATAGCTCTTCTCTGTCAAAAATGAATGTAAAAAAGAGGGGTTGGTGGCAGTAACGGGTCAGAAAAAAAGCCAACAGTTGCATAAGGAATTAACCGTATTAACTCAGTCGGAATCTTACAAGCATGCTTTCAGCAAAAATCATTAGTTAGATTTTATTTGTATCTTTGATATAATATCATAATTATTTTTCTGCAATAGGTCATCGCTGGATGAAACTTTGCCGAAAAACTGTCAAGTGAGACCTTAAGTATGTATTACCATCTGTAAGCAACGTATACCATAAACAGCAATACATATGACGTTTCTAAAGCCAATAATGTACGACAGTCCCATCGTAGTAATGCATGAAGTTGGAAATTTAAGGTTTTAGCTAAGTTTTGCTGAAATTGTATACAATATAAATTAAACATACACATACATTTTTTTCTGAATGCACTGAATGTTGAAGCCGCCAGCTGAAAAGAAATCGCAGCTAGAAAGAAAGAAAGAGGCTGACTGTAGAGCTTACCTTTTGTGGGTGCCAACTAAAACAGTGAATGACGAATGCACACAGCATATTAACACAAAGTTGCGAAATGAGAAGAAAATAATTTGACAAACACATAAACAGAAGTCGGTAGAGGACGCATTAGTGTTGCGTTTCTTACATATATTTTTTGACGTTGTTATTGATAAAAATTAATCTTGTCTTTCACAATGAATAACTATCTCAATCTTAAACGGTTCTGCTCTGGTTACGCCTGTTACTGTATACAGCAGTAACCGAAACAAACAACATGACACTGTTAACTCAGAATAGACAGGATATCCCCCCCCTCTCTCTCTCTCTCTCTCTCTCTC